TATTTTACTAGATATTTATTTTATTTTACTAATTATTTTACTAAATAATTATTTACTATTTTGTTCTCTAATTTTTAAGTGTTATTTACATATGCAGATACAGCTTAAATATTTTGACTAGATTAGACAGTTAATAGATCCACCATTAGTAATCAATATATTATGTCATAATAAACATCCTTTTTCTTTCACTGAAATTTCATTTAGAAATAAACTTATTTTCGCTTATTATGTTTTGAAACTTGACATATAGGATATTTTCCTTCTGGCTACACATTCATCTACCTTTGTTCTCTATTTAGATTATTCAAATAAAGTTAGTTTGCTTTTATAATATTTGTTTCTTGTTTTTTGTTTGTTACTAATTACTGGGTGATAGAAATAAAAACAAATCATGAGTGGTCCTGTTTTAAGTTTCCTCAAAAAAAAAAAAAAAAAAAAGAATGTTTTCTTGTTTCTTAAGTGTTTTGGTCAGAGCAGGCCTGGTGTCATATACCTGTAGTTTCAACTACCTGGGAGGCTGAGGAAGGAGGATTGCTTGAGCCTAGGAGTTCAAGGCTGAAGTGTGCTATGATCATGCCTGCAACTAGCCACTGCAGTCTAGCCTGGGCAAGAGAAAAAGACTCCTCTTAAAATAAGTAAATAAAATAAAATAGTAATAATCAGCAGTTGTATAATTATAGGACTCAAGGAAACACTGTAAAAAGAACAGTGCAATTGGACTAAGATTATTCTTTAAACTACTATGATTATTTCTGCCATAAAGACCGTTGGTGGATATAGGATGGATCAAAAGAAAGGTTTATTTTGGAGTGGCCAAAAAAAAAATGCTGTTGTATTACTTGAGTTGCCAATACTTGATCTAATACTATACTGCTGGAGTTAATGGATAGTGTTTTAGGAGTTAAGAAGGTGGTTAAATCCCTTAACAAAAAGTAAAAAGGTAATTGAAATGGCATAAACTTGACTCAAATCAAGAGTCTGACCCCTACTGCCTATATATTCCCTTGTCCTATCAGAACTCCTTCAGCGCCTTCCCTATTCTAAGGTATCTCACCTGCCAGGTACCTGGTTTGTCCCATTTCTATCAGGTCATAAGATGAACTAATAATAAAGTTTAAGGTAAGTAACCTCCAAAGGAGACTTAAAAGTGGAAAAGAAAAAGACCTTAAGGACTTAAATAATAAGATGGATAATCAATGGTTAATGGCTACCAATGAGAGTATAGGAGGAGGCTATTGCAAGCCTAAATATGGATAGAGCTCTCCACACAGAAAGCATAAATAAATGAAATCCTCTAGGTTATGTCTGTAACACCATGTTAATGTACGTAATTTTTTTTGTCTGATGGGTACACACACAGCTGAGTCTGAGCATGTGGTATCTCTGAGGTTGAGGGACTCCATGATTCTGGCATGCAGCTGGGGCAAAGCACCACCAGATGCCCCTACCCACAGTCCCTGCTGACAATGTAGCAGCAGCATGATGCATGAAGATGTAGCACAGTGGAAGGAGAAAGGCTCCTTTCCTCCTGTCAAAGCTTAGCATTGTGCTCACTACTAAAGGAGAAATACTCAAAAAGTCCAGTTACAGAAAATTGATAACTGCACACTAGGCAATAACTTACAGTGTTTCCTCTCTCTGGTTTTGACAGAATTATTGAGCAGCAGACATAAGAAGTCAGCTGCTTTCAGACAAGTTGAGAGTTGATACTATCTCAAAGGAGCTAAGCAGAATAACTTTTTTGTCCCCTTTTATCAACACCATAGAGTGAAAGAGAATCATATCTAGTTTCTGGGTTCTGCTTCTAGATTTGCCAGCCTAAACTTGAATAAGTCACTTGTTTCTGGGCATCACTTTTATCATTTGGTAAGAAAGGGAAGAGAAGTGATTTGAATTACATGAGCTCTGAAGTCCCTGCCAGACTTAAGGTGAGGAAAGCTCTGCGGTGAGGCTGGTTCAAGTACCCAACAATGTAATAGGGGTAAAAATGAGGCAGAGAATAAAGGACTCACATAATTAAAGGCTGCTTTAGTACTAGACTGACTAGAAGAAAGATGTCATATATATTGCAGATACAAGCAAAGCCTTCTTTTTTTGTTTTTGTTTTTGAGATAGAGTCTGACTCTGTCGCCCAGGCTGGAGTGCAGTGATGCGATCTCGGCTCACTGCAAGCTCCCCCTCCCAGTTTCACGCCATTCTCCTGCCTCAGCCTCCCAAGTAGCTAGGACTAGAGGTGCCTGCCACCACACCCGGCTAATTTTTTTGTATTTTTAGTAGAGACAGGGTTTCATCGTGTTAGCCTGGATGGTCTCGACCTCCTGACCTCGTGATCTGCCCAGGATTACAGGCGTGAGCCACCGTGCCAGGCCCCAAGCAAAGCCTTCTTAATGTCATCACAGACAACAGAATGGATCAAAACAGTAAATGTAATGTGGTCAACATAATGGGCCTGAATTCAGTAATTTATATTAAAAAGAAACTTTCTAAGTCCAAACCAATATACCACCTTGAATATATTTCAGCAACAAAAAAGAGTAAGGTAGCTGGGAGTTTGTATTAGTCTATTCTCACACTGCTATGAAGAAATAACCCAAGACTGGGAAATTTATAAGGAAAAGATTTTAATTGACTCACAGTCCTGCATGGCTGGGGAGGCCTCAGGAAACTTACAATCACGGTGGAGGGGAAGCCAACGTTTCCTTTTCCACATGGCACTAGGCGTGAGAACTGCAGAGTGAACAGAGGAAAAGCTCCTTATAAAACCATCAGATCCTCTGAAAACTATCACTAGAACAGCATGGGGGAACCGCCCCCATGATCTAATCACCTTCCAGGAGGTCCCTCCCCAACATATGGGGATTATAATTCAGATTACAAGTCAAGATGAGATTTTGGTTGGGGACAGCCAAACCATATTAAGAGTTCATATTAACAGATTTGACAGTACTTAACTGGGACACACCTCTGGTCAGATAAACATTCAGTTAAGTTTTCTACTTTCCTAGTTACTGGGTCATTTATCTCACAACCACCCATCACCCACAACTTACCAAGTACACATATTTAGAATCGGTACACTTAAAGTATACTATCTACACATGGGAAAAATCAACAAGTTGGCTATAGTTAGACATATCGACTTTACTATTTATCACAACAGTACAACTTTAACCTTGGGAAACATTCCAAAGTATATCTCTAGCTTAGCTTTTACTTTCTTAAACTATCCTTAGTAACACTTTTAATAAACCTTCTTTTAATAAAAAAAATTAGTTTCATAATCTAGTCAAAATGATCAGCAAACATCAGATTTTTGTTTTTTAATAATTTATATAATCTATATAAATAAAAATATATACAATATAAAATATATTTAAGGAAATATTCTATTTACAAATAAACATAATCAGAAAACAACGATTATTGAAGTGCGTTTAATATTGTGAGAGTTCTTTGAAAACCCCATCTTGAGCAGCTTGATTATGCATCAGATTTCAGTCTATCTTGGTTAAGATCATTTGGTAACATTTGTATGTCAAATACATAGTGAATATATCTATAGATCTCCTCAGCCTTCTGATGAGTTACTTGTGCATACATGGAGATTTCTTGAGGTGTGCTGAAAAATAAATGAGACAAAATCATTACACTAGGACTTTTGGCTTTTATAAAATGTAATATTACCTAAAGAACACCAAACACAGTAGCCTTTAAGGAAATCATCTCAAGCATTATCGGTCCAGCTGATGTCTTGAAAATTAGTTTGGATAAAACAGCTACTTGGTTCCTTTCCTTAAAATTATCTAGAAAAACAATTCCAATATCTTCAATGAACTGAATGTTTTTGTGTTCCCCAAAATTCATATGTTGAAGCCCTAATCCCAATGTAATGGTATTTGGAAGAGGCAACTTCGAGAATTAGTTGATAAAGGTGGATATCCTCGTGCACTTATAAGAAGAGGTCAAAGAGCTAGCTAGCTCTATTTCTGCCATGTGAGGATACAATGAGAAGGCAGTAGTCTGTGACTCAGTACAAAACTCTCTCCAGAACCCAGCCATATCTCAGACTTCCAGTATCCAGAACTGGCAGAAATAAACTTCTGTCATTTATAAATTACCCAGTTTATGGTATTTTAGCATTGCAGCATGAGCTAAGACAGTATCTGATGTAGGCCTTTAATTAAAATGAACTACATTCTAAAATCTCCCTCTTCAAGCAATATAAATGCTCATTTTTCTTGTTACAGAACTGAACAGCCCAGAAATGTTAGATTGCAAGGTCAAAGGTAACTGCTATTTATTGTCTCTCCACAGAGCTCTAAGGTTCTCAAAGGAAATCCCTACACCTATTTTTTCTTTTTTTCGATTAATGTCCCTCAGCTTCATATAGTAACTAATATATGTTGGCAGGCAAAAAATGTTTACTGAATAAAATCTAACAGGCACGATGCCTCTTAAATTTTTTTAACGTTAAACTTCTATGGAATGCTTTTAAGAATCTTTTAAAAGTAATCATTTAAAAATATTACAACAGACATACCTGTTAGCCATCCTTTTCACAGATGAAAACTGGTGACACATATTTAATGCAGTTATATAACTTATATTAGGAATACTTAAATAAAACTGGAGTGCCTCACTTTTACTACTATTCACCACTGTTGGAACATGAATACCAACATTCTTTCTTTGTTCCACTAAAGACAGTTCCTTTAGCAAATCTGCAGTTTCTTCTTGGCAGGAACTGAAAAGAATTCGGATTCCAGCGCCAATTAAGGTAGTCAGCAGGCTGTCATAGCTTTTTGTTCTCCTAAACATCCTTGATGCGTCTCCTAAACATTTATATTTAGGGAAAGGCAAACTTTAGCAACTAATATCAAGTAGAATCATTAATATACTTTATTTTATTAAAATCCCAAGATCTACACCATTGGCAAACTAGTGCCACATTCTGCTAATGAGAAACCCTACAACTAATGTTTCTCAAATATCTGAGAAAGAAAATAGGGATAACTATGAGCACCTTGAGCTGGAATCAACATAGAAAGGTGAATAAGGAAGAGCTTATATTCCTACATAATTCACTCCTGAAGGCCAAGATTGTATTACTCATCTCTAATTTTTCATGCTAGCTCTGAGGAAGGGCGCATTAAGTACTGGTTTAAGTGATATAAAATTATCTTATGTATTTATTCCAAAGAATCACTCAACAATTAGCCTGTACACCCATTTTAATGTCATCTTGCCAATTAGTTCCCTACCCTTTCTTGTTCATTTTCTATTCCATATTCTACTTAAATCCTTTTATTGGTATTCCCTATCATGGCCCTCGATACTTTTCTATAACCTTTGCCATGTTACTTTCCTGTCTACTCCAAATCTATTTCCTTTATCCCTGACTTTTCAAATTAAAAAGAGGCTGGGGCTGGGCACGGTGGCTCACACATATAATCCTAGCACTTTGGGAGACCGAGGTAGGCAGATCACAAGGTCGAGAGATCGAGACCATCCTGGCCAACATGGTGAAACCTCATCTCTACAAAAAATACAAAAAAAAAAATTAGTTGAGCGTGGTGGCACACGTCTGTAGTCCCAGCTACTCAGGAGGCTCAGGCAGGAGATTCACCTGAACCCAAGAAGCAGAGGTTGCAGTGAGCCGAGATTGCACCACTGCACTCCAGCCTGGGTGATAGAGCGAGACTCTGCCTCAAAAGAAAAAAAAAAAAAAAGGCTGGGCACGGTGGCTCATGCCTGGAATTCCAGCACTTTGGAATGCCAAGGCTGGCAGATCACCTGAGGTCCAGAGTTCGAGACCAGTTTGACCAACATGGTGAAACTCCGTCTCTACTAAAAACACAAAAATTAGCTGGGCATGGTGGCACATGCCAGTAATCCCAGCTACTCAGGAGGCTATGGCAAGAGAATTGCTTGAACCTGGGAGGTGGAGGTTGCAGTGAGCTGAGATCGTGCCAGTGCACTCCAGCCTGAGTGACAGAGCGAGACTCTGTCTCAAAAAGAAAGGAAAAAAAAAATTGGGTAACCAAAAGATAAAATGACTTATCTAAGGCCACATGGTTCACCAATGACAAAATGGGGATGAAAAAGCTGCCGAATTCCCACACCAATGTTTTGCATAAACTACACTATTACCAAAAGTATAAATGTTCAATTCTTCTGCAGTGGCTTTCACAACTACATGATTTTACTTAGTTCTCATAATATCACAAGATGACTAGGACAAGCGTATTATTAGTTCCTCAGAGGGAGTGACTTGTCAGTGCAATGTCTCATAGAGAAACCATAGAAACGGTGTGTCTTCTGATTCCGTATCTCATGATCTTTTCACTGTTCTTGAGGGCTCGCCATACAATTGAATAATTACTGCAGAAATAACCTACCTGAAGCTCCAATCCTGCACTTCCAAATGCATCCTAGGCACCCACTTCAGTGACCCACTGAGAACTCGATCTTAATGTGTTCAAAATTGAACTTTCCTTGTCCCTCTTATCTGTTGCTTCCATTATATTCATAATTGCAATAAACAGTACCAGTATTTAACTGCCCAATAACCAAGAAGTTGGTCAACTCAGTAATTCTCAACTCCTCCCACCAACTCTTGCTAATCCTGACTCCTTAAACATCTCCCAAATACTACTACTCCTCCCCATTGCTGCCTTATTTAAGGCCCTCATTCTTCGTGGGTTCCTGAAACAGTCTTATGTTTGGCAGACTTGCCTTCAATTTCCAACCCTTCAGTTCTCATAAGCTGTATTTAAATACAATAACTAATGAAAGCCATTATGGCTGCATGAAAATAAGAATGACATTCACCAGTCAGGTGTTTATATTTTAAGAGTTCCCACATCCTAATAATAGAAGAATAAACTAAGTTAACAGTCAAGTTCCTTTACAGTCTTATAAACAAAGATATTTAAAAATACAAACCTGTTTTTTCTCTGTCCTTTTCCACAATCACACATATTCTTTCAAACATACTCTGCAGGTGCTGGATCTGCTCAATGAGCTTGTTCTTATTGATACTATTTAACATCTCAGACTGAGACCTCCTTTCCACCACCATGCGGTTACTCACGATGTAATCACAGCCATTAAGAGGACAAACTTCTACTTGCAACCCATGAATTGCTCTTAGGGAAGAAATTACTTCTAATCCAGAAGTTATTTCATGACCGCCTACAAGAATACAGGTTTCTTTTCCTTCCTGTGGAAGTCTAAGAGAAGTATGTGTCCCAGCTAAATGTGGTCTTGAATTGGAAGAGGATGCCCCTGAAGCGCAAGAATCCTCCAAAGCACTACCATCCTGAAAAAGTGGAAAACACTGGTCACAATCAGGTGAAATACATAAATGTGCCATAAGTGTCTCATGTCCAAAGGTGATTCTCCGTACTGAGAACGTCCAGTTTTCTTCCTTCAATTTGACCAAAGTGACAATACATGAAGGAACACGTAAGTCACTATTCTTACACCTCAAAAAACTATAAAGCTATAATTAACAACAAAAGCTAAGAACAGTAGGATGTAAAGAAATAGGAGAAAGTCTAAAAATGAACAGGAAAGGAAATAAGTGTTAAAAAAGAAAATTATAATTTTTAGCCTAGAGAAAAAAACCAAATGAATGGAAGATGAAATAATTTTAGAGCAGATTAGAGTTCATTGTGAAGAATAAGGAAACCAGACAAGACATTTTTGAAAAATAACAGGAAGATTAGATAACCAGAAAGTATCTCCAGTTGAAAACAACTAAACCTGTTTAGTTTTAAAAAACTAAAATGTTTGTAAAAAATACTTAGAAACACATAAATGGTCTGACGAGAAAGGAAGAAATACACCGAGGTCAAAAACAACATGGAAGTGAGAATTTTGGAAGTTACTTAAGCCAGAACATACCCAGCTTTCCTTTCCAAAGTAATCTGCCAAATCCTGTGAACCATGAGCTCCTCTTTTTGCAGAGGCACAGGGCACGGGAAACAGTGCCAGATGTCCGAACCTCTGTCCCCAAAAATGGTTAAACATTTTTATAAGCGCAAATAAAAAAATAAATCTACTCCATAAAAGCAGAAAGGAAAAAGTAGCTGTCAATCTTGGTATCTGGTAGAGAGGGAAAAAATCTCAGAATTGGTATCGACATACCGGTCCTACAGCCCTCATGTAGGCTTGTAGCCAGAATACACAATATCTGTGTGATCCACAAAAAGCAAGTAATAAAATGTGCTCTCAAAAAAGAAATGCAAATGGCTCTTACAAGCTATATGAATGTATGAAACTGAAAGAAAAAAGATGCTTTCAACTTTGCTATGCAAAGAAAAACACAAATTTGAAACTATATGACACGCCATCTCTCACTAGGTTGACAATATTCTCTGTTAATAAAGTTCTGGAGAAATCAGAAACTCTTTTACAATGCTGGTAGTAATAATATGGTACCGGGCCAGGTGCAGTGGCTCACGCCTGTAATCCCAGCACTTTGGGTGGCTGAGGCGAGTAGATCATTTGAGGCGGGGAGTTCGAGACCAGCCTGGCCAACATGGTGAAACCCTGTCTCGACTAAAAATACAAAAATTATCTGGGCGTGGGAGGCGGAGTCTGCAGTGAGCAGAGCCACTGCACTCCAGCCTGGGCGACAGAGCGAGACTCTGCCTCAAAAAAAAAAAAAAAAAAAAGTACAAACCCTATAGAGAAGTTAGCAATATCTGGCAACATTACATATGCATTTACTTTTTACAGCAATTCCAAGAAATTAATCCCAAAGTTACACCGGCAACATTTAAGAGAATACAAACATGGCTATTTATTATAAGAACAAAAGATTAGAAACAACCCACATATGCATCAATATAGAAATGTTGAATAAATAATTACATAATCATACAATGGTATATGTAGCTACACAAAGTAATGAGGAATATATATCTGTATATTACTATTGAGTGAACCTGAGGATAGTTTTAAGTAAAAAAATCAAGACGGGATAAAGTACGTACTATATTTTACTAACCTATCTAAGGAAGATTAAAAATATAAAAGCATCTAATTATATATTTCAAACGATGTATAAACGAGCCGAAGTATATAGATATTTTTAATTATTACCTTTGTACAAGGAAGGAAACAGTGAAGGACACAAAAATAAAACTGAATTTTTTTTTTTTTGAGATGGAGTTTTGCTCCAGTCGTCCAGGCTGGAGTTGTATGGTGCAGTCTCAGCTCACTGCAACCTCTGCCTACTGGGTTTAAGTCACTCTCCTGCCTCAGCCTCCCAAGTAGCTGGGATTACAGGTGTCTGCTACAACACCCGGCTAATTTCTATATTTTTAGTAGAGACAGGGTTTCAAACCATGTTGGTCCGGCTGGTCTTGAGCTCCTGACCTCAGATGATCCACCCACTTCGGCCTCCCAAAGTGCTGGGATTACAGGCGTGAGCCACCGTGCCTGGCCTGGAATTTGTTGAATATAAATTATTTTGTAGATTTCAATTTGGGACCATGAACAAAATAAATAAAAAGACATCCCATTTTCATGCACTGAAAAATTTAACATTATTAAGATGACAATACTACCCAAAACGATCTATGTATTCAATACAATCTCTTTCAAAATTCCAAAAGGATATATTACAGAAATGGGAAAACCCATACTAAATTTCATGTATTTCAAGGGACTCTGAATATCTAAAACAATCTTAAAAAAAAAAAAAAAGTTAGAAAACTCAGACTTACCAACTTCAAAACTTACTATAAAGCTACAGGAATCATGACAGTGTGGTACTGGCATAGAAAAAGACATATGCCAAAGAAATGAGTCTAGAAATAAACCCTCACATATATGGTCAACTGATTTTAAGCAAGATAGCCATGCATCACCACCAACAAAAGCTGGACTTTTACATCATTAACAAAAGTTAACTCAAAATGAATCAAAGGTATACACTGAAGAATTAAAACTACAAAACTCTTACAAGGAAACATAAAGGAAAATCTTCATAACTTTGGATTTGCGAAGATGTTCTCTTCCCATACTTATCAGCAGATTGCTCTAGTTACTTGGTGTTTGCTAGACTGGTGGGAGGGAGCACTAGGAGTGTGGAATTGGTGTTTTCTATTGTCCTGGTTCAGCCATAGTCTTGGGCAGGACTTGTTTCCGTAGGTCTCGAAGGTAGGAATTTCTCAGTGATCTTACTCTCCCTCCCAGTTATTAGAGACCTCTAATTGTCTAGGCTTAAGATGTTTTCCTGCCCTTCTTCCAGTTATACAGGATATTTTTCTTGTTTCCTTCCTGATCTGCAGTCTTCACCTAAGCTCTGAGGGCGACACAGTTTGCTGCTCTTCCGCCAGTAGCTTAAAGCTTTTTGTTCCATAGGGGAAAGTTGGAAAGGAACAAGGTGAGGCATGGTTCCTTTTCCACAGCAATTGCTTATCTCTTCCCCAAGGACTGTACTAAGAAAAAGGGTTTTTCTTATTCTCAGTCTTTTTTGTGAATCCCTGATGAGTGTGTGAAGAGCCCATGAGTGGCTGTAAATTCCCCGTGTGTCTATAACTCCCAGGGGTTCTAAGCTTTCATGCTAGTCCATTGCCTTTTGTAATTCACTAACGTTTTAGCTGAAACTTTTTTTTTATTTTTTTTTTAGAGAGTCTCACTTTGTTGCCCAAGCTGGAGTGCAGTGGCACGATCACAGCTCACTGCAGCCTCAACCTCCCGGGGTCAGGTGATCCTTCCACCTTAGCATGCTGAGTAGCTAGGACTACAGGTATGCACCAGCATGCCAGGCTAATTTTTTTGTTATTTTTGTTTCGTTTTTCTTTTTTTGGAGATGGAGTCTCGCTATGTTACACAGGCTGGAGTGCAGCACCTCTCCCTCCCAGCTTCAAGCAATTCTCCTGGCGCAGCCTCCTGAATAGCTGGGGCTACAGGCATCTGCCACCATGTCTGGCTAATTTTTTGTATTTTTAGTAGTGACGGAGTTTCACCGTGTTGGCCAGGCTGGTCTTAAACTCCTGACTTCAAATGATCCCCCTGCCTCGGCCTCTCAAAGTGTGGGATTATAGGCGTAAGCCACTGCCCCCGGTCAGCTGAATTATTTTTACCACATTTTATAGGTTCCAGTGATTGCCATGAATCAGCAAGCTTTTCATTGGAGGGGCCTGTTTTTCCTTAAATATCAGCCTAATTGTTTGCCCTACAACCTTAGCTCTGTAATGGTTTCAAGAAAACATGATTTTGCTGATGACTGGCTCTTTGTTATAGTAAGGATGGGAGCAATACTCCCTCTACCTTTCTACATTGTAACTTAAGGTAGACTTTCTATATTTTAACATAATAAACTAAGATCAACATCCTAATTATTCAGAAATTATCGCTAAAATATATTCAATATTTAATTTAAAAAAAGAATAATAAATGTAATGAAGGAGGAAATGGCCACTAAAGAACTAGAAGAAAATAGTGAAAGTACTTAGTTATCTTAGAGTATGGCTTCCTAAACATGACAACAAGGTCAGGAAGTACAAAGAAAAAAAATCTAGGCTGCATAAAGAAGTTATATTTCATATAGCAAGAAACACTAAACACAAAACAAAAAAGCAAATAAAAGACAAGGAATACTGTTTGTAATATTTATGACAATGCAAATATTAGTATTTTTAATCTGTGAAGATTTTTGTCAGGGTAGTCTATTTTATGCCTTTTCAAATTTACCTCAAAAATTCTTTCCCCTCCTAATTTCAAGTAATAAGAATTATACTATATGTAATTTTATTCACTAATAGTAGAAAACTTAAAACATCTTTCCATTAAGATCTACTGATCCTTTTTCATAGTGCTCTTCAAAGTATCACTAGCCTGTATCTATTTTCTAGTTAGGAGATACCAAAGTAGAAATACTGCTTAAAGTGTTAGTGATTACCAGTGCTTATTTCTCTTTTCAAAGTAAAGAGCACTGGAGTGTGGTGTGGGGGTGAATAGGCATCTATGGTAATTTGAAGCCCAGAAGGGCAGTGTGGAGGCACCCAGCCTCTGTAGCCTCATCTCCACTGCCCAGATAGAGTTACCCAGGGTCAGGAGGGACTCTGTCTTGTCGAGAAAAGCCTAGGATACTGAGACAGTCGCAAATGTCACTAGTGTGAATTACAGCTGAAGAAACTACACAGAAACTACACTACTGTATCCACCTAGAACCAAGGCCAACACACCCCACCAAACTGACACCCTAAGACCCATTTATACAAATAAGTCTTTCCCTGGGAAATTACTCCATAAAACTTCATGAGGTGAATGTCCCACTAGATGTGTAGAAATCAACATAAGGACACGTCACATATGAAAAAGCAAGGACATGATACTTCCAAAGGAACACAATAATTCTCAAATAACAGACCCCAATTGCAATGAATTATACAAAAATAGTAATCTTGCCAGGCATGGTGTAGCATGTCTATAGTCCCAGCTACTAAGAAGGCTGAGGTAGGAGGATCACGTGAGTCCAGGAGTTCAAGTCAGCAGTGAGCTATGATCGCACCTGTGGATAGCCACTGTACTCCAGCCTAGGCAACACAATGAGAACTCATCTTGGGATTTTAATCTCTATACTATCGATGAGGATATTGAAACTCAAAGAAATTAAGTACTTTCTTGTTCTCCAGTCTATTATAAAGACTTAATGTAGTCAATCTTTTCCTAACAATGCCTTCAAGAAATAACTATGCCTCTCCCACAAAAAAAAAACTGGGGACAATTTGCAACTGGAAACACAAATATGAGGACCATTGTGTGGACACTGTCAAGCATGTGGCTAAGGCAGAGTGTGATGAAACTTCTTGGGGATAAAGAGAAGTAGAAGCAGAGAGTAGAATAGTAGTTAGTACAGGGGTTAAGGTTGGGGTGGAGGGTGTTGGTCAAATGATACAAAATTTCAGATAGGAAGACTATAGTCAATTACAAGGTATTTTATCTTGAAAATCACTGAAAGAGTAAATTTTAAGTGTTCTCAACCAAAAAATGATAAGTATTTGAGGTAATACATATGTTAATTAGCTTGATCTAGCCATTCCACAATGTATACATATTTCAAAACATGTCCTACTTGATAAATACATACAATTATTTGTCAATTATAAAAATTATTAATTTTTAATAAGTATTTTCAGTCTCACTCCTAGTTAGGCAAACAAATGAATCAATATATACGGCTCCTATTATTTATTTAACCCCTATTTAGCAAAATTACTGTAACTATAAACTCTTAAAAACAGGAAACAGTTTTACAGTGATTCTTCTAGAAACAGCACAACAGGGAGAAGGTAAAACTGGACTACTTAGCAGTCATTCTGGAAGGAAGTGGAAGAAAACTTTAAGGAAGGAAACCAGTTGGTACTCCCAAATTCCTTTACCCAATAAAAGGAGACTTACATACCCGAAGTCTTCTGAGAAGAAGAGAAGTTAATCTGGGAACTAGTTCTAGGTCTTTTGTGTGTGTGTTTTGAGATGGAGTCTTGCTCTGTCACCCAAGCTGGAGTGAAATGGCACGATCTCGGCTGACTGCAACCTCTCCTTCCCAAGTTTCAGCGATTCTCCTACCTCAACCTCCCAAGTAGGTGGGACTACAGGGATGCACGACCATGCCCAGCTAATTTTTGTGTTTTTAGTAGAGATGTCATTTCACCATGTTGGCCAGGCTAGTCTTGAACTCCTGACTTCAAGTGATCTACCTGCCTCGGCCTCCCAGAGTGCTGGGATTACAGGCATGAGACACTGCACCTGGCCAAGGAACTAGCTCTGAACACGTAATTTCAATTAACTTTGCCTTGCAGAAAGCCCTATTTTCCTACATCCTTTTAATAAAATTATCAAGTTTCCTTACACAGTGTTAACAAAACATTAACATATTTAAAAAATTAAAACCTGAGCATCCTGTGAATTGCCCATATAATTTTGTGTATTGTTTTCTTGTTTGAAGACATTTTCTTCAAAAATTTTTTGTTAATTTTTCTTTGACCTAGTTATTTAATACAAAACACATACATAAGAAAGAAAAAGAAAAACTTCTGGTAACCATCTAAAGACATTTTTCCTTTCTTTGATCCATACCTTCTGTGGAACTGGAAATTTTCTACAGTCTTTCTGTGAATCAACAGTAGTGAAGGGTGGTGTCGTAGACTGGACTTTATTATGATTTTGAGGTTTGAAGTCTGAGACTTCAGAAATTGTATCCTTTAAATTAAGTGATGTCGGTTTGCTCTGCTTTGGTGATTGATTAACTACTGGATTAGAATGCATCTTGGACTGCAGAGAAGATCCAGAAGGCACTGAATTTAAACAACAGTCCTGTTGTTTGTTCTTCTTAACAGTGCTTGGCTTAACTGCAATATTAGATTCTCTTTTATCATTTACATTGTTCTCCTCCTCACTTGAATCATCTGGTAAAATAATTCTGGATAATTTCTTTTTTGAATGTGCACAGTTTTGTTCCCTCATTTGTTTTAGCATTACTGCACGTCGGGTTTTATACTTTTTACTGCTACTTGCAAAGCAATCATCAGTTATTAAGTTAAAATCAACACAAACTTCTTCTTCACTTGATTGGCCTTTGCAAGACTCCTCCTCATCAACACAAAAACTATCCTCTAAATAGGTTTCATCTTGTTCAGGAATCTACAATAAAAACATAAGAATATTTTACATTTATTTCAGACAATTAACAGGTATTTAAAACATACTTCGAAGCACATGAAATCTACATTAATATTTGTTTAATTTACTTTATTAATTCAGCCACTTACTCAATTAACATATACCAAGTACATTCTTTGTGGAGGAAAATGAGTTTGAGAATAAAGGAAAAGAATGATTTACCATCTAGAAATTTAAGGTTTAGTAACAGCAGGTAGAAAGTAACCAATAATAATAGATGATAAATGCTATATAATAAGCACAATGGAAGTACAGAGAGTACACATTACCAAGCTGAACATGGCAATTTATAAACAAACATGACTAATATGAAAATGTTATCCTTGGCCGGGTGCGGTGGCTCAAGTCTGTAATCCCAGCACTTTGGAAGGCCGAGACGGGCGGATCACGAGGTCAGGAGATCGAGACCATCCTGGCTAACTGGGTGAAACCCCGTCTCTACTAAAAAATACAAAAAACTAGCCGGGCGAAGTGGCGGGCGCCTGTAGTCCCAGCTACTTGGGAGGCTGAGGCAGAATGGCGTGAACCCGGGAGGCGGAGCTTGCAGTGAGTTGAGATCCGGCCACTGCACTCCAGCCTGGGCGACAGAGCTAGACTCCGTCAAAAAAAAAAAAAAAAAAAGAAAATGTTATCCATAAATGACATAACCTATAATTTTCAGAATATAATATTTTTGTGAAAAAAATAAATTTTATCAACCAAGGACAAAAAAGGGATTTTTTTTTATTTTTTGAAATGGGGTTTCACTCTTGTCGTGCAGGCTGGAATGCAATGGTGCAATCTTGGCTCATTGCAACCTCTGCCTCCCGGGTTCAAGCTATTCTCCTGCCTTAGCCTCCCAAGTAGCTGAGATTACAGGCATGTGCCACCATCCTGGCTAATTTTTGTCTTATTAGTAGAGATGGGATTTCACCATGTTGGCCAGGCTGGTCTTGAACTCCTGACCTCAGGTGATCTACCAGCACTGGCCTCCCAAAGTGCTGGGATTACAGGCGTGAGCCACCATACCTGGCCAAAAAGGGATCTTGAGAATTCATTTAGTTGAGCTTCCTGACTTTGGGCAGAAATTATCTCAAATAGCTCTGAGAGCCCAGTTTTAGAAACAAAATGGAGGCTTCATTAACAGGAACATATTTCAACCTCACCATCCAGAAATTCTCCATTATATTTCTATAGTTTATACCTGTGAGAAAATGTTTATGTTTTTATGTGTCTTATGAATCATTTTGTACTTATTGTTCATCATCGGACTACGCAAAGATTTCATGTAAACAGCTCTCATTTCAGCATCTGTGTAAAGATAAGAATTTAAGACAAAGTAGCAAAATTATTTAAATGAATAATTGAAGTATTTATTTCAATTATTTATTTCAATGATTGAAGTATTTAACTTCAATCTATTTCAAATTTACTTGATTCAAACCTTGTGCAAATATTTTACACAAAGACAATAAATATTAAAAGATGTCTATAAACAATTATTGAAAAATATTAAGTTAGGAGTTTAGCCTTTGAAATCAGATCATCTAGTTGAGTGATCATGGACAACTTAAGTTCCCTGCTTTAGCTATCTCTCTGAAAATGAGGATTGAAACAGACTTTTCTTTCAAAACAAAGGTATACAAAGACCTTAAAAATGTACCAGATTTACAGAAGTTTCACAAAAACATAAGAAATCTAGCCAGAAAAGCAAATATGCACTAAAAACATTAAAACCCACAGCCAATAAAAAGTATGTTTCATAATTTTCAGTTAAGGAAAACCTGGGAAACACCTTGTTTTTTTTTTTATGCCTAGCATTTTTAAAAGTTATAATGAAAGGTACTTGAGACATGATACATAAAAACAAAAGATAATGTGAATTTCGAGGTACTTAAAAAAAAAAGCTTTGAAACTGTACATAGTTCAAACATACTGTGTCTGCAATGGAATTTCAAATCTCTATAATCGCCATCTAAACTGCTTCATCTGCAGCCTTCCCCATAATATAACAGCAACTATATCCTTGTTGCTCAAGCTTACTCACTCGTCCTTTTTTTCTGATCCATCAGAAAATCCCGTCAGCTTTATGTATCCAGAATTCACTCTTTCTCACTCTCCTCAGTGCTACTATCTTGGTAGAAGCCACTACCATTCCTTGGTTGGAGGACCTCAACAGTCTCCTAACTGGTCTCAGTCTACCTCTGTTCCCCTACAGGTCATTCTCAACATAGAAGCTACAGAGATTCTACTAAATTATGTCAGATTATGATCTGGCTGCTATTTATCTGATCTTCCTACTACCTTCCGTTTTCCCTCATTCCAGTCACAACACTGTTCCTTCAACAGGCCAGACACACTACTGACTCAGGACCTTTGCACTGGCTGTTGTCTTTGTATCAACATTCTTCCACTGGATTATATTGTAAACCTGCAAAAGCCACTTCTGTTAATGAACATCGAGGGCATAAAACCTTATCCTGCAAATTATATCAGCATTAAGGACAGTACTGAGAACACTGTCTTTAAACACTTTTTTCTTAAAAGTCACAAACTTTGAGAAACTTTGTCACTTTAAATAATATCGGAGACTGCAAAAGCAGAATAAATGATGAGATCTGTGAAAGATTAGAATACTGAAGAGATATAATCAGAATATTTCTCACTTCTGTTACAGTCAATCTGAACCATCTCCTCTAAATGTATTGTATGTAAGATCTGTTCAAGCATTGGATGAACACACTGTTTTCCGAAAGTAAACTGCTTTACTTGGCAAATTTAATAAATTTAGCTTTGTATTTCAGTTGGTCTTAACAATCTACATCACTAAATCTCTCTTCTTCTAGTCTCTGATGATGTCGCCTTCTCAATGAAGCCTATTCCTAATTGCTTTATTTAAAATCACAGCTAGGCTGAGTGCAGTGGCTCACAGCTATTGACCCAGTACTTTGGGAGGCCAAGGTTAGAGGACTGCTTGAGGTCTGAAGTTGGAGACCAACCTGAGCAACATAGTGAGATTACATCTCTACAAAAGGCCAAAAAAATTAACTGGTCATGGTGGTACATGCCTGTAGTCCTACAGGAGGCTAAAGCAGGAGAATCTCCTGAGTCTAGGAGTTCAAGGCTGCAGTGAAATATGACTGCGCCACTGCACCCTACTCTGGGCAACTCTGTCTCTAAAAAAATAAAATTAAAAAATAATAAAATGGCAACTCGTCTGTTATTTATACCCCCAACCTCAATCACTCCAAATTTTTCTCATCTTGTCCAACTTTTTTATTTTTCTGTAATTTTTTATCTTACAATAAACTAAATAATTTAGTTAGCATATATACTGTCTCTTTCCATTTGAATGTAGGCTTCATAAGAAGAAATTTTTTGTCTATTTTGTTCATTCATATACAGTTCCTAAATGCCTTACGTAGTACTAGGCATGTAGCAGGTACTAAACACGTGTGAAATGAACATTTCACACTTCAGCAACCCAGGTCAATCTGAAAAGAAATATTCAAATTAGCAGAAGCCTATAAACAACCAGTTTAAAATAAAGCAAGTATTAGAGAATTTGAATGAAAATGACCAAATAAATATTTTGCACATATCACATTTAATTACTTTTAAGGTCTAGTTTCATTAAAAACTGATTAAAATATTTAAATATAAGCACATACAAACATTGAAAAAAATCTGAAGGATCATTATAACATTTACCATTTATAGCCTGTGAAAGTTGAGTTTCATCATTTAAAAAGTCAAGTAATGAGGAATCTTCTTCATTTTCTGACTCATCATTTTCATCTGATGAAACATATTCTGCATCTTCTTCAGAAAGTTCTGCTTCATCATCTAAAAACTTCCTAGCTACATGCTAAGACAAATTAGAAAACATGAAGATATCATTGAGAAAATAATTTTCTTTCATGATTGGAAATGATTCTGGAAAACTGATTTCTTATCAATGCTTTTAAGATTAATAAAATAATAAAAACAGAAAATTTCTAGGCCCAGTGTGGTGGTGCACGCCTGTAATCCCAGCACTATGGGAGGCC